TTGTCGCCGTCGTCGTGGTGGTCGTCGTCATGTTGGTCGTCGTCGTTGTGGTCGTCGTCCTCGTCATCGTTGTCGTCGTCGTCGTCGCAGTGGTCGTCGTCATCGTCGTCGTCGTTGTGATCGTTGTCGTCGTCGTTGTGGTGATCGTCGTCGTTGTGATAGTCGCCGTGGTCGTAGACGTCGTCGTCGTCGTTGTGGTGGTGGTGATGGTCGTCGTCGTCGTCCGTCGTGGTCGTCGTTGTGGTTGTGGTCGTCGGCGTCTTCCTTTCAGTCGTCGTCGTCGTCCGTTCATCGTTGTGGTCGTCATCGTCGTCGTCCGTCAGTGTCGTGCTCGTTGTCGTTGTCGTCGTCGTCGTGGTTGTCGTCGGGGTCATCGTCGTAGTCGTTGTGGTCGTCGTCGTCGAGGTCGGCGTCGTTTTCGTTATCGTCGTCGTCGTCCGTCGTCGTCGTCGTCGTCGTTGTGGTCGTCGTCGTCGTCGTCGTCCGTCGTCGTCGTTGTCGTCCTTTAGTGGTCGTTGTGGTCGTCGTTCTTGTGGTCGTTGTGGTCGTCGTCGTCGTCGTCGTCGTTGGTGTCATCGTCATTGTCATCGTTGTCATTCGACCCCCTCCTTCCCCCCCGCCAGCCCCAGGGAAGGGACAGGGAGAGGGGCAAACCCCACTCCGAGGGGCAGAAATGGTGACCCGTGAAAGCACCTACGCCACGAAGGCGGGTGGGATTCCGTTGAGTGAGGATTGATGAAGACAGTTACGTGAATGTTGATAGATACAGGGGGGTGGTGCTTAATCTTTGTTCCCCGGCGGCAGAGCATGATGATGAGGACGAGGGAGAGGAGGGGGAGGAGGAGGAGGAGGAGGAGGAGGAGGAGGAGGACGAGGAGGAGGAGGAGGCGGAGGAGGAGGAGAAGGACTGACTGCACCTAAGGGGGCACGCCTGGCCACAGGGCATCTGGTCCAACCTTACTTGGGGAGAACGTGCAGTTTTTCTTCGGCGCGGGCTTCAAGTTTCCCGCCCTCCTGGTGTTCCAACGCCTTCCGAGTCAGCGAACAAGGCGGGTGAGAATGACGGGGCGAGTGAGGAGGCGGACCAACAGGAGGAGGAGGAGGAGGAGGAGGAGGAGGAGGTCGGGCAGGACAATCAACAGGATGGGGAAGGGGACGATGGGACGATGATGATGTTGATGCTGCTGATGATGATGATGATGATGATGATGATGATGATGCTCATGATGATGATGATGATGTTGATGCTGGTGATGGCGATGATGTTGATTCTTATGCTGATAATGAGGATGATGATGAGGAGGAGGATGGGGATGATGGTGATAATGAGGATGCTGATGATGATGCTGAGGAGGATGGGGAAAATGATGAGGATGATGATGCTGATGATGATGCTGATGATGACGATGATGATGATGCTTATGAGGATGATGATGCTGATGATGATTATGATGATGCTGATGCTGATGATGCTGATGATGATGATGGTGCGGATGACGGTGATGATGGTGATGCTCAGGATGGTGATGATGATGCTGATGATGAGGAGGATGAGGAGGATGAGGACGAGGACGAGGAGGATGATGGGATGATGAGGACGAGGATGATGATGGTAGTACTGACCATGATGATGATTATGATACTGATGCTGCTGATGATGGTGATGATGATGTTGATGATGATGATTGTGTTCTGATGATGATGGTGGTGCTGATGATGATGATGATGCTGATGCTGCTGCTGAAGCTGATGATGATGATGATGATGATGATGGTGGTGGTGGTGGTGGTGGTCGTGGTGGTGGTCGTGGTGTTCGTGGATGGTGGTGGTGGGTTGTGATGATGAGGATGATGATGAGGATGAAGATGAAGATGATGATGGTGATGATGCTGATGATGATGTTGATGATGATCATGATGATGGTGGTGGTGGTGGCGGTGATGATGATGATGATGATGATGATTATGATGATGATGATGATGATGATGATGCTGCTGCTGATGATGATGATGATGATGATGATGATGATGATGATGAGGATGAGGATGATGATGATGATGATGATGATGATGATGATGATGATGATGATGATGATGATGATGATGATGGTGGTGGTGGTGGTGGTGGTGGTGGTGGGTGGTGGGTGGTGGTGGGTCGTGGGTGGTGGTGGTGGCGGCGGTGGTGGTGGTGGTGGGTGGTGGTGGTGGGTGGTGGTTAGGAGGAGGAGGAGGAGGAGGAGGGAGCAGGGAGGAGGGAGGAGGGATGGAGGAGGAAAGAAAATTAAGGAGGAGGTTGAGGGTGGATGAGGTGGAGGTGGAGAAACATGGATGAAGTGCACGCTGACGACAGAGAGGTACGATGGGGTGAGGAGAGACGGCGCGCAGGTTCCCGTGCCGTCGGTGCCCGCTGAGCTGCCGGCCAATCGGATTCGCACCAGCCCCGCGCTGGCGACGGACCCCCCACTCAGAGCAGCAAGAGGTCATGATAATGATACGTTCCAGGATTTCCGAGATTTCCTAGTGTTCCACGTGTATTGCAGAGACGAGGACTGCTAGATACTCTGGAAACCCTGGAACGTATCCAGAGCCAATCCCATCATGACATTATCCTTGTCCTGTCCTCCCTCCCCCTCCCCCTATCGAAGACGCCCACGGCGAATCATCGCTGCCCCCTGCCTTTTGGAAACGCCCATGCGGTCAAACGTTGGGCCGAAGTCTGGCCAAACTGTTGGACCATGTGTTCCCCAATCCGTTCCGTTGTGGAACCCTTTGGGGGGACACTGGGGAGAGGAAGAGAAAGGAGGAGGAGGAGAAGGAGGAGACGGACGAGGATGAAGAAGAGGAGGCCTCTTGAGGCCCTCTGAGGGCCTACGGGGAGGGTAACCTGGAGCCTTTTGGTGACTTCTTGGAGGCCTCTAGGGACCTCTATGGGAACTCTTGGCCTTCAGAGGCGATCTGGGGGCCTTCTCTGGGCAGTCGTGGGTCCTTGTTTGGGCACTTGAGGACCGTCTTGGAGGTCTCTGGGGCCATCTTGCAGGCCTCTTGGGGGCCTCTTGTACCGTCTTGGGGCGATCGTGAGAGCGTAGGTGCCCGTCTTGGAGCGCCGGAAGCCCGAAACGACGAGAACGCTACATTCATTGAGCGCAACCTGAGGGATGTCAAGAATGATGGCCTCCTAGAGGTCAGCCTGGGGCCTCTTGGGGACCTTTTGGGGGCCTCTTGGGGGCCTCTTGGCCTTCAGAGGCCGCCTTGGGCCCAAGGCCTTGATGCTGGCAGTCAACGGCGCTAGCTCTTGGGTGCCCGATGTTCGTGAAGCGGGACTTCTTCGCACTATCGTGGAGGGGGGGCTCTGGAGACCATACAGCCTTGCCAGGTTTGGGTATCGTGAGGAACCCAGCTATTCGCTGTGTGGTCACCCTGTTTACAATGCCGACCTCATCATATGCGAGTGTCCACACCTTATTGCTGCGGGTGAGCAGCATCTTCGTGGAGTCGACCTCCGCGGGTTTCCACAGCAGCAAGCCGGTGTACTCATGTGGTCTGGAGGCTTGATTGGCAGGTCTTGCTTCTGTCCCCAACCTCGGAGAGACGACACTGGCAAGTGCCGTGTTCAGTATGGTGACCCATATGTCATCACAGGTCGAATGGATACGGACGGAGCTTGTCGCAAGGTGCGTTGCTGGCCTGAACCCTCGCGAGCTCGGTGGGGTTTTGCTCAGCTTAGGGAGCCTCTGGGACGCGGAGTGGACATCCTAGCGCATGGGCCTTGCCTGGGCCTGCGCAGTCCTCCCCAAGGGCTGAGTTGTATGCTGTCCATCAGGTCCTCCAGGCTTGTACCCTCCCCATTGTGGTCTGCACGGGCTTTCAAGGTCTGGCGGACGGCCTTCAACGAGGGCCTGCTTGGTGCCTGGCCCCCCGCCGCACCAATGTTGATCTCCGGGAGGCCATCAGGGCCAACATCCAGGACCATGATGGGCCTAGCACTAATTCAGGCATCGATCTCGTGAGAGCTCATCAGAAGGGCACCTCCGTTGATGCCATAGGTAATCGGTGGGCTGACTTAGGTGCTTGGAATGGCAGGGATGTGCATGTGGCTCCCGAAACTAAGCGTACCGCCCTGAACATAGCTTGTCGCAGCTTCGTCGCTGTAGCTGAGTGGATGGTTCAGGCTTATGCTCTTTTCGCGGAAGCGTCCAGGGTTGACCCTTGGCCTCGTGTGAAGGCCAGACGTAGGCCTTTGAAGGCCCCGCACCTTGATGAGCCCAGTCAGGGCTCTGCTGAGCTCATGCATGCTTTCCCAAAGGTTACGGGCCGCGCAATTTGGAGGTATCATTTCTGCATGAAGGGCTCCAGGACTGATAGATCTCGCTCTCGTCTCTCGTCTTTGACCCTGCCCTGCCCGCCTGCGTGCCTCCGCCGCCCCTTTTGGTTGGGTATCCCGTTCCGAGGGTTGGTGGTGATGGCCGTGTCCATGCGGCAGCGCTGGGCGATTTCCCTGTGGTTGGAGGCGAGGTCCCTCCCGACGCCCCCACTCCACCCCATGACGGAGAGGATGCCGAGGAAGTGGCCGACGCCCTCAGTCGCCAGGACACCGCCTGCGCTGGGGATGGTGGGGAGTCACGTCCCCGCTTGAGGCCTGGTGACGGTGCCTGCCGTCGTGCTGCCGCTCCCCTCGTCGGATCGGATCGCCTGGCTCGCCCTCGCCTGGATCCTGGGGATGGCCCCGTCGGGGCCAGGTCTGCCCGTCGCCCTCGGGACGCCGAGGACCTCGGACTCTGGTGACCCTGTCGGGGGTCGGCTCGTTCGGCAAGGTGTGCCCTGTGAGCCCGCAGTCGAAGTGCGGGCCCCTGCGGGCGCCGCGCTTCCTGCCGCTGCAGCGTTTCGGTTCCATCCCCGATCGGAATGGGCGTGCCTCTGTGCCCGACAGGCGTAGACGCACTGGCGGCATGGGTAGTAACAACAGGCCCACCCTCGCCGCCACCACGGTCCCAGCCATGGCCC